CCCCAAAACCCCAAAACCCCAAAACCCCAAAACCCCAAAACCCCAAAACCCCAAGGAAGATTCTGGATATTGAACTTATGAGCTTATTTGTAATACGATCTAGCCTCATGAAGTTCATCCATCCTATCATGTTCAATGTCAAGCTTGTCGTTCAATTCTTTGTTAAGAAGGTTTTCTTTCTCAGATCTGATTATTTGAGTTAAGAAGCTAGTTATTTCTAGGTCGTATTTTGTATTTCAAAGGAAAGTAGTGAAGTTCTTGAATCATAGATTTACTCATTTCTTACTGCAAAGAAGAACCAAATTGGGATCAATTTCATATTCTTCGTCAAGAGAGCATATGAATGAAGAGTTAAACCCCATATTCTCAAATAAAATATCGCTTATTGATGCTTTCTTAGTTCGATTCATTGATTCAAGAAGTGATGGATAAGATTTTATCCTATTTTGTTAAGAAAATTGTTACCTAAGATCAATCGCACATTCGAACCCGCTTGAGCCAGTGAAGCTCTTTACACCTTCCTCAAAACTTTGGATATAATTTTTGTCATCTACTTGAGAGAGGAGAGTCATATTTGAAGAGTTTTTGGAGGCAAATGATTCTAGTCTTAGAAGAGACTTAGACTTAAAATCTTCATCAAAGTCAAGCCTTTTCTCAGATTCACTATCTGTATGCTTCTTCCTCCTCTTTTTTGAATTTTGGCTACTCTTTGTAACAAGAAGGAGCACCATGACTTGATTTGGTGTGTTCTGAACCAAATATTGAGAGAAATTTAAGGCTCTCACAGGATTATCACACTCATCGATGAGCAGAACCTTTTGAGTGCTTGATATCAAGGAGGATTTAGAAACCACAGATCTTGGACAACAAATAAAAAGAGTGTAGTACATTTCTAAATGAATGCAAGCAGCTTTGAATATTTCTTTTTCAATCCATGATACTCTACTTTGGTTTGAAATTCCTCCGAGACACATACTTTTTGAGCTAGAGGAGTCAGATTCTTTTAAATCATTCGCATTTCCTAGTAACTCTTCAGCGAGATTCATTCTAAATCTAAAATGAAGGCTAGGAGGAGATGTGTGTTTTTGGTGCAAAATTATATAATACCCTTCTTTTGCTTTGAAAATGTCTACAGGTTTTCTCAATATCCAGAGAGACCTGTTTGTCCATCAGATACTTTTCTCATCACTTCTTGAGTAATCATTAAATTTTATGAAAACACTATTAACCCCATTAGGACTGAATGTGAAAGAAACAATGTCTGCATCAGATTCATCATCTTGTGTGAGATCTTTCTGCATGAGTGGATCTGTAGCATCTGCTATGTTTTTACATTCAAGTATGTCTCTTTTCTCAATCTCGTACCCCGATCAGAGGAGTATATCCTTAGGAGGATTGCTGCCTTCAGATTTAGTCTCTTCAGCCCCAAATTCATACATTCCTCTCATCGCTTTTAGAACAGTTTGGTCATAAACATTAGGGTCTTCTATCCAATAATTCAACTTCAAGATTGTTATATCTGGGATTGGAAGGGTTTTACCCCCGACTTGCTTTAGTGGACTTGAATCTCCATTACTAATCTCAGTAGCTTCATTTGTATTGTCATCCATTGCGGATATATTGTTATTAAGTTTGGGGTTTTGGGGTTTTGGGGTTTTGGGGTTTTGGGG